GGGCGCCCCCAGCGCGGGGGACTGGAGCGGCGAGCGCCCGGCCCAGCCCCACCCAGACCAAGAGCAACGCTTGGCCCCTTTCCGCCGGGCAGAATTCCCCTGAGCCTCGCTTTCATCTTTTGGGTTGGCGATGAGAGTCCTGAAAGAGATGAGAAGTTAAGATTTGAGTCTGAAAGGGATTCGCGCGCTCGCGCATCCCTCCCCGCCCCACTCTGGTTCCAGTATTACCGCGGCGTGGGGGCGGGGAGGGCGGGGAGCCGGGTCCTGGCAGAGCCAGCCCCGCCCGGGCTGGTGTGGGCGCAGCAGGGGCCAGGGCAGACCCGCAGCAGCCCTCCTCCCTTGGAAGGGGAGGCCAGCCCGCCCGGCGCCGCCCCCCTCTGTGGTGGCCTTGTTCCCGGGGCGCAGGCTGGAGGTTTTCTGGGGGCTCGTCTCACATCTGAGGTTGTGCAGAGGTTGGTCCTGGTTGTGGGGCCCAGTTTTGCCGCTCCAGCATGCGAAGGGGGCCTCAAAACCCTAAATGGCTGGCCCCGCGTTTAGTCCCCTCCGCCGGGAGTGAGCAGACACCCTAGGAAAACCTCATTGCTGCCTTTCTTCCGCAGGGTGCCTGCTGTGGGATGGATGCTGGGATCAGCACCGGGAACAAATCAGACGAGACTTTACACGTAAACCAGTGAGAGACGCTCCCAAGCACAGGGCTAGCCTTCAGCAGGGCCAGGGAGGGCTGGAACTGGACCCAAGCTCCACCCGCACAACGCGGAGGGGCCTGCAGCAGCTCTGAAGCCGGAGGAATCCCATTCCCAGCACCGGACTCGCGGCAGGTGACCCTGCCTTCTTCCAAGCTGGTCTGACTCTCCCTCTGCAACTCCAGCGTCCTCGATTGCAGAAAGGACGCTCCCAAGGCCACCAGGAAGTCCTGGAAGGGCAGTGGGTCCGTCAGGGTGTCCTCGCTGCACCCGGTGATGCACTTTCGTACTCTCCCATCCCTGTTCACACGGCTTTGGCGCCTGATGCCTCGAGACCGAGCAGAGACCCTCTCTGGGGATGTGGGCTCCAGCTGTTCCCTTCCTGACCACACCAGAGCACGTCCCAGTCATGCTGCGTAGACGGCTTGCAGAGCCTTCACCGGCTCCCGTGGGAAGAACGGGTGAGACACTGCACAAGGCTGGGCAGGTACTGTCTAGAAAAGCCCAGTGCTGCAGGCTGCATCAGGAAGCAGGAGCCCCCAGGGCTGGGGGTCCAGAGGAACTTCCATTCCAGGCAGAGGGCCTCTAGCCAGACTTCTGGGTCATTCACCGGGCATCAGCCCACCACAAGTTCTCCCTGAGCACTGTCTCCTAAGGGTGGGGTGGCTCTTCAAGTGAGTGGGCACCGCTGGCTACCAGCAGCTACGTAGCGGGCACTGTGAGGCTGTGTATTTCAAAGTCAAGTCCCGGGCTGGCATCCTCATTCCAGAACTTGCTACAAATGCAGATCTCAGGCTCCACCCCAGACCTCCAGAATCAAAACTCCGGAGGTCTGACCCAGCAGTCTGCAACTTAAAAACTCTCTAGGTAGTTCTCATGCATAACGGAGCACAAGGAGTAATTATGTCACTTTTTACTAGAATACCTCCTCAGAGCAGGATTCTAGCCCCCAACAAAGCAACCATCCTTGGATTAAGCCGAGCTGCCGAGCTGCCGGTCACATACAAGTTATACTGTAGCATTGTGTACGGTGGTAACAACCTGGAAACAAAGTGGTGTCCCTCAGGGAGAAAATAGGTAAATAGCCTATGGGAACACTCACTTGGGAATACTATGCAGTCATTAAAAGAAGGAAGTAGATACCCACACAGTGATGTGCAAAGATCTCCAGAGTGTACCATTCAGTAAAAAAGAATACCTATAGCTCAGATTTGGGTGAAAAAATATGTCAATGTACCCCAAGCAAATCTGTGTATCTACATATATAAAAGTGTGCTTTTAAAAAAAGCATGAAAGAAGGCCCACCCAACTGTTTCCCTGCAAGGAGGAGACTGAGATGGGAGAACTCTAGCTTTGACCATTGTTTATCTTTCTTCAGTATCTGGTTTATTTATGGCATTAAATGTCAATCTTTTTTGTGACATGGGGTCTTGCTATGTTGTCCAGGTTGCCCTTGAACTTTTAATCTTCCTGCCTCTGCCTCCTGAGTAGCTGGGATTACAGGCATGCACCACCATGCAGACTCGCTGGTGCAAAGAGTGCATTCTGACCATCCCAAAGGGCAGGGATGGCTGTGGGACACACGGAGAGAGGGTAGACAGACTCAGCCTCCCCTGCGGAGTGGAGTGGGGGAGCAGAAAAGCCGGGGAGGCTCCACCCCCAGGGTATCCAGCTCTGGCTCGAGGGAGCAGGTGGAAAAAGGATTTGCTGAGCCGAGGTTGGGAGGGCTGTTATATTTTCTCGAGATTAGCTGAGCAAACATGTACTGAAGGCCTACTGTGTGCCTGGTTAGATGCCACCTTCCTTTTCGGAGGCATGGATGAGCTGGGGTGTGCTCAAGTTCTGGTCACACACAGCCCCCCTCCAGGCCCCACCAGGTAAGTTGGTTCTGCCAGCATATCTGCCGGCAGGGCCCACTGTCCACCGACACCATAGATAGTCAGCCTCAGAAACCGACTCGGCAAGGGACCCAAGGCCCAACAGAAAAGAGAACGCAGGTTGCTGTGGACCTGAGAGGAAAAACAAGGTTTCCTGTCTGAGTGCAGCAGGTACTGGAAGCTGTGAGTAATGTCGCTCTCAGCACCCGGCAGCCTGCGGTGGGGGCGTCACCGCCAGCAGTGGCTCCCAGCATGCGCTGGCCACAGGCCCGGGGCCCGGGGTGGGCAGGGCCGTGCAGAAGGAACCTACCACGCAGGTGGGCATGCAGCAAGCAGTGTCCAGCCAGCCCCGCGGCCTCCCTGCTGCTCGCTGTGGTCAGTTGCCCTCAATAAAGACCCAGGTGCTGAGGTGTCTCCGGCCACAGTCCCCAGCAGCCTTCACCACCGCAAGGCAGGCCATTTCCACCAGACTGCAATTGTCCCCTTTTGCCCAGCAGGGCGCAGGGACCCACTGCGGGACCAAGAGCAGGGCCCCCAACTGTCAACTGCTGAGGGGCCTCACCGTGAAACAGGCAGAGACGCACACAGGGTGAGCGTGGGGACTGGGGGCACCAGCTGACATTGACCGTTCTCTTACCCGGGAGCATGCTGGGCTGACGCCTGGCCTCGTTTAACTCTCACGGTATCCCTGGGTCACAGGCAAGGAAACAACTCAGAAACACGTTTGTGTGCATTTTTCATCTGCGTGGAGATACACCGGAAGCACGCTCCGTTGTACATACTTACAGCACACATACAGGTGGTATACTTCCTCCAGTGAACCCCATGCGCCCTATCTGTCCTTGGGGATTCCTTTGCCCTTTCTAGAGTTTCCAATAAATCAAACCATACACAATGTGCTCTGTGTTTTTCCCACGCAGCGTTATTATTGTGAGACTTCCCGTGCAGTTGCTAGTTCATTCATTATATTTGAGCATCCCTCTGTTGCATAAATGGACCACAATTCGCTTATCTGTTCACTTATTGGTAGACGTCTGGGTCATTCCTAGGTTTGAGGGACCACAAACAAAGTTGCTATAAACATTTGAGTACAACATTTGTGCAAGCATGATTTCGCTTCTCTTGAGTAGTTATCCAGACGTAGAACACCCAGATCATATCAAAGGTATAAGCATTTAAGAAACCGTCTCCCTCACGTTCCTGGCGACAGCTGGCATGGGCAGTTTTGCGGAGTTTACTTGAGCCACGCGAATGCATGTGGCAGCGCTGACTGTTCATGGTTTTAACTCGGTTGTCGTCGCTGACTAACGATGTTCCCATCTTTTCATGTGCTTATCAGCCATCCCGGTATCTGCTTTTCTGAAGAGCCCAAGATTGAGATGTGTCTTACAATTGCAGGCTTATTTCAGCTCTACTGGCAGGGGCCGTTCTTCCCTTCTTAGTGAGACACAAAATACGATGCTTTACAATGGATGGAATCTTAGGCTCACAAAAGATGTGAAGTCACTTGCCCTGGGTCACATGTTGGACGAAGGACAGAGTTCCCGCTCTGAGCCTGTACTTTTATTGTTTATTTGTCTGTTTTTAGGATGGAACCCACAGCCTCTCTACCATTGAGTTGCATCCCCAGTTCTTTTAATTTTTCGCTTTCAGACAGGGTCTCCCTAAGTTGCATGGGAGGGACTTGAACTTACAATCCTCCTGCCTCGGACCCCTGAGTAGTTGGGATGACAGGCATCTGCCACAGTGCCTGATGAGTCTGTGCTTTTAACGTCACATTATTCTGGCTAGCAGAGTCAGGATCAAGTTTGTTGTAGGGTAGGACAAGAAGCCCTCTGTCCTCTTCTAGGCCAGCGAGCCCCGGGACATTCAGGCCCCGAAGCTTCAAGGCCCCAGCTGGCTGTGACCGCCTGTGTACAAGGAGGATCCTCTTTTCACTGTCTGAGCCTTCACCTGGCACAGCCTGCCAAGAGCCAATGTGTGCCAGGCCAGCAAGTGGAGCAGACGGAGCCAGACCAAATGCCTGCCTTGCAGGACTCCAAGTGAGAGAGGGGAGTAGAGTCACGCCCGGAACCCACACTCAGGGGGCTGGCAGAGCTGGGACCAGGAGCTGCCTCCGCAGGCTGCAGAATCCTTGAGTGCTCTGTGAATAGGTCAAAGTCCTGGGCTTTAAAAATTACGTCTTAGGCTCACAGCCTGGCCCTGGGGCAGAGGTGCCACCCCTGATAGCACACTTACCTAGCATTCCAGAGACCCCAGGCTCACAGAGGAAAGTCACATGCCCGAGGGCATACCGCTGGGAAGGGCTGGAGCCAGGATTCTTCTATTTTATTTTTTGTTTGTTTTATTTATCTTGTGGTGCTGGGCTCCATGACCAGTGGGTCTGCCCACATGTGGTGCGGGGTTCTCACGTGTCTCCTCAGATCCTGGCTGCCAGCTTGTTGTGGTTCCTTGGTGCTACACGATCTCTTCGTGCCTCAGTCTCTCCACCTCTCAAAGGGGGACGTGAAAACACATGTGTATGCCTGCCTGTCTGCCTGCCCACCACACAGAGCTCAATCTGTGGTGGAGATCAGAGGAGCTGCCGAAAGCTTTCTCAAAATACTTAGCAGTTTATAAGCTGTCGTGCTTATGCACACCCAGGGCAGTTCATAGAACTTCAGCCTCATGGATGGTCACGCTTGGCAGTGGCGGTCATGTCTAAGGGCTTTTACTATGTAAGCTGCATTCTCCTGATGAACACATTGAGGCCCAGAGAGGAGAGGTAATTCACCTCAGGGTACACAGCTAGCAACCCAGGATTCAAGCCTGTGTGTCTGACGCAAGCCTGCTCTTACCCTTCAGGGGCCAGGCCCAGGGTCTCTGGAGTGCCTGCTTAAAAGGGGAAGCTAAGAATGAAATCAACAAGCAATATGGCTTCTCTTCAGACACCTGGGAAGCCACTGATTCCTGTTGAAAGCTTGGGAGGTCTTGAAAATGTCTGGTCTTTGCAGACACGATTTCATGCCCTCCAGCCGAAGCCCTCTGGCGGCCTCAGCTTTCTTTCTACGGTTGCTGGTCTAGGGCTTTTTACCTTATCTGTAAAACGGGCACAGAAGGACTAGTGGGGTTTGTGTGGCTGCCATATTGGTATCAGTCTTCTCCACAAGATAGGAGGTGAGATAACAGACATCAAAGCGTGTTGGAAAAATGAAACAATCATCACTCACCCGAAGATACCCAGGGTCTATTCCGACCTTACTATCACCGAGCCCAAGTATGGGCAGCCTTTGACACAGGGCAAATATTGATGAGCAATCAAAAAAGCCACAGGAGAAGCAGTGGCTGAAGAATCCAGAACGTTGGCCACCTCCCCAAGACAGCAGATGTCCCAAGCCCAAGGGGACTCCGGGCCACTTAACACCAACCTCACGGAGGGTTCGCAGTTAAAGCCCAACGGACGGGCAGGACTGCACGTTCTTGGCAGGCGAACAAACAACAATTTCTAAGACTTTACCCACCATTTCCTCCGCTCCCCAAACCCTCTTCTGATCAATGCCTCATGGCTTTTATATTTTCTTCTTCTTCTTCTTTTTTTTTTTTTTTCTCTTTCTGCAGAGTCTCCCGTGCAGGCAGTAGAGAGGAGAATTTCACAGACTCAGCACATTCCTCTCCCACTTCTCATAAACCCGGGCGCCCGATTTTCCCTCGTGGTGCCCATCCCAGTGGTGCGCACGAGGTACAGTGAGTGGTTTTGAAGGCAGGTTGGTTCCTTATCAGGAAGCGTTATCTGCGCCATCAAAGTACACTTTAAGAAAAAAGCAGTTTCAATACCAAACTTGAAGGTTTGACTGTTGAAAGGAAGAGCCAGGACAAAGCAACCACAGCTTTTATCACTCGCTGATGAAGGCGGCGTGTGGTGGGAATACTATATTTTAAGCTCGCTACTGAGAATGCCTCCATGCCTTTGAACAAAAAACAAACCATGCTGTGGAAATTGCCGGTAATTGTCTTTACCTATGGTCTCAGGGGGTGCACACCGGGCCTTGCGGTTGTGGGCGCCGTTTCATGCCGGGGTTCGCGTCCCCAGCTCTGCCTGGCACAGGGTGGAACAGATCAGGGCCTCAGATCTGCTGTGTGCGCCTGTGGTTGCTGGGAGGAGGCGGGCGGATGGCCGCGAGATAAGGCAACAATGGAAAGTTTCTCACCTGAGCGGAGCCAGGAGGCCCTGTGCTCGGGGAGACTCAACTGCCCCAGAAAAAAGAGGGCTTTTGGAAAGCCAGCCCCCCATTCACTTTCTCACGGGGTTTCTTCAACCTCAGCATTGCGGGATCCCTCACACCCATTGAAAGGCAAAGTCTTTGTGTGTCGATAGTTCTTGAAGCAATAAAAACAGCTAGCGGAACTTTGAAGATCAGAGATTTTTTTTCTTAAGGTTCACATCCTAGAGATCTGGCCTTCCTTTGTAGACAAGGCCTCCTGGGTGTCCCTCAGGAGGCGCTGACGTTGCCCAGCAGAACTGCGACCAGAGCCCCCTAGAAGGCTGTGCTCAGAGGCCCCCTGGC